AGCCGATCACTACAACTTTGTCAAAGAAGGAGGGAAGCCCGGCGTTAGCTAGGCCAACCAACTTTACATAAGAAGGGGGATGCCCGGCGATAGCCGGACAATCCGACTTTAATTATAATACAGAAAAAATCGCTCCCATTTCGGAGCTAACACTGAGAGTGTAGAGCTACCAAGGAAAAAGGAGCATCCGATGGGTTATTTAGGCATAGCAAATTTTTTACAGTAAGGAGGAGCGCCCGGCGAAGCGGTCGACCCCTTAAGAAGGAGGGAAGCCCGGCGTTAGCCGGGCGGCCCGACTGGTATAAGATGATAAAAGATGAAGGTCGCTGTAGCATCGAATTTGCTTGTATGCAGTCCCCAACCATGTGAATGTGAAAAGCAATTTTTGGCACTTCCTGGCTACTGAAGCCGATTATTACGCGGTTATTAGTATTTTGTCCCGATCTCTCTTCTATAGCATTCCATTATTATAATTCCTTAAATGGTTTTGAGAACCTTTGTATTCTACAGAATGTGCGGGCTTCTTCATAATCGAAACACAAGCCCAAACTGAACCGTTTTTGGCATCACAGGGTTACCTCTTAGCTGTCGAAGGCAAAATTTGAATCCTATTTCGCTTTGACCGTAAAAATGACAACTCCATTTTGCTTCGCTTCTGCTTCCACCGTTCGCAAATCTACCATGACTTGCTCACTCCAAGCAAACGCGGTGCATATAGGCGAATCTATTTGCACGAAATTATGAGCTTCAATTCATTACCATGTAATTGAAGCTTTAAGCGTTGCTTTCAAATTTTACGAATTGGGTGGCAAACATGACAGGATTCCTTCTAGTCGCGGACCACACCCATGGAGGAGTGAAACGGGTTAGAAAAGGAAAATACTGCGTTCTTTTTTAATTTTTGTGTGTTAGTAGCTTTATCATATGATCTAATGCGAAATTCCAGTACTTCGCAGCACGGCTGGAGTGTACATTGATCGGCCTACCGTTTCGCGCTAGATGCTGTGGTTAGGCAGTTGCCGAGCAAGTGGAAGGGCGGCAGCCCCTCATTCGAGTCCACCTTAGCCGGGATCGCGGTGGAACTCGCTCTTCATGTATAGGTTGCACACAGCAAGCCCCGGTAAATTACCTCTAAATTACTGCGCTCTGGACTAAGGACAAAGACCCAATTGAAATATCCGCTTACCAACCTGTTGCATTGCCCTATGTTTTCATACTTGCCATCAGATTTCGACTTATATGGTATGACATCTCTTGCCTTCTTTTCTACTGCTCGAACGAGCTTTGACAACCCGAATCGCGCGTTGCGAATGGGAAGATGTAGCTCAGCGCCAGCTTTAACAAGCTTCACTGCTTACACACCAACATCGAACTACGAAGAAGATCTGGAAGCGTTGTATGGAGAGGCTCCACACGGAAGACCACACCTCCAAGGTCATCGCCGGTGATTTCAACGCTAAAATTGGCCGCAGAAGAACGACTGATGAGCTCCATATCGGGACCTACGGAAAGCTCAAAAAAGAATAAGCAGGCTAAAAGGCTGTCCTTGCTCATTATGTCGACCCACAATTGACTGGGTAATTCGCAGTTCCAAAAGCACTCTAGTTTGCGATGAACTTGGGAGCCATCCGGTGGACTGCTGCTCTTCCGATGTTGTACACGGAATCAGAATACGTCTCCTCCGCACAAGACTCTCTTTTNTTTTGTGGCTAGTCGAACAACTCTACTATACTGCCAGGAAAGCAGTCTGAAAGATGCCAAGAAACATCTCATTTGAAAATTCTCGAGCTGGTGTGCCAACGTGAAATCGTAGGAGCTGCTGCCAATAACCAAATAACCTCGAACTCGCGAAGCAATGCAGTGTAGCGATAATGCAAGATCTGAAAGAGGAAAGCAAGAAGTGCATTCGCGAAGCGAAGACTTACTGCATCTCGAAGGGCAACTGAGAAGGCCATCTATGACTTCTACTCTGATCTCTTTGGCAGCCACGTCTACCTGTCCACCTACCATATTAGGCAGAACTTCTCATATGTCGCCCTTTCAGTTCCCCCTTCCGAAATACGACGTGTCATCACGTCGATGAGAACTGTACGGCACCCGATCTTAGTGGGACCAAACTGTAACACCTAAAGAGCCACCCTCTAGTCATTGTCAAAACCCTGGCTCCGCTCTTCACGCGGTACCTGTGGAAATTCAAAGTGCCACCTTCGTGGGGAACTCGGAAGACTTCTGCTGTATAAGAATAGAGATTCAGACAACGCAATTGTCGCCCTATCTGCCTGCTATCTGTAATCCACAAACCATTCACACGCGTCATTCTCAACATGATTGGCAGAATATTAGATGAAAGGTCAGCCATGGAGCGAGCAGGCTTTCGGAGAGGGGCAAATGTGATCAATAGAACTGATCACACTCAAACTGTTACAAGACTCATTGAAGTATCGCCGTTACATCTTACGGTTATCGATTCGAAGAAAACTTTCGATACCGTAGAGTCAGGAGCGGTAATGTGCAACCACGGTGTTCCAGCTCAATATATGAGGATGCTTCATGAGCTCTACAGCAACTGCAGAACCACGATCTCGCCTTGCTATGAAGAATTCATCGTCGACATGAGGACAGGGGTCCGTCAGGTTGATACCATTTCGTCCAAACTTTTCAGTGCGGCTCTCAAAAATATCATGCGTATTAGAATGTGATTCATGGGTGTGAAGACCGACGGCCGCTACTTGCTACTTGCTTATAACATTGAACAACGAGAAGGCGCAACAAATGCTGGCCGCTTTCGACGAGGCTTGTGGAAAGATAGGCTTACAACTGAACCTAACGAAGATGTTCATGCGAAACGGATTGCTACCCGATGCTCTTTCGAAGCTGACCGGAACGAACATCTCCGAATGCTTAAAGGCACCGTTCACATAATTTCGGGTAATCCAGATTATGATGAAAAATGGGAGGCAAGATCGAAACTAGTGCGACTGAGGTGAAGAAACTGCGTGCATCGGTGTTTCCAAAGTGAAAAAGGCTCTGAAAAAAACGTTAAAAAGGGGGCTGGACGTGAATGAAACCAGAAAAATGAAGAAGGGTGGGGCGTCCGGACGAGCTAAATAGTGACGAATAATAGCAATCTGTATTGTCTTGACACTCGTCTAACGTGACACCGATCGAGGGGCGGGCACGCGAACTACGGCAACAACGGAGCTGCCACTATGCCCTGGAGGTCGAGATTGGGGGAGTGAGAGGGTCCTTTCTACAACCCATGGGGGTCGCTGAGTATTAATAAGGTAAGAACTCAATAACTTTTTTATCGTGAACGGTACCTTTAAGCTAGTTGTATCTAGGCCTAGAAATCTATACGGTGAACGACCTAGAACCTAGAACCAGTGTGGCTATCGAAAATACCATGCGTATTAGAATGTGATGTCATGGGAGTGAGGACCGACGGCTGCTACTTATATCATCTCCGCTTTGCAGATGACATGGTGCTTATAACATTGAACAATGAGAAGGCGGAACCAATGCTTGCCGCTTTCGACAAGGCTTGTGGAAAGATAGGCTTACAACTGAACCTAACGAAGTTGTTCATGCGAAACGGATTGCTACCCGATGCTCCTTCGAAGCTGAACGGAACGAACATCTCTGCTGTGCTTAAGCTGGTTGTATCTAGGCCTAGAAATTTATATGGTAAACGACCTATCACTGCAGCTGGGCAGAAGGAAATGTGCGGCGTATGGAGCATTTAAAGGCACCGTTTACGATAAATTTAGAGTACCCTTTTTTGACGGGAATTCATAGAACTACTCTAGTATAAAGCGATAACAACGAAAAAAGCGCAAAAAAGATGAACAAAAAAAATAGAAAGGGTCAAAAAAGAGCAGAAAAGGGGGGTTGACGAGTTTCACATTGGAAGAACGGCGGTTAAGGGAGTGTTCGGGCGAGTGCACGAAGGCGACGCAATGTCTGCAGTAGCAGACAACACACCCAAGCAGACACATCGCTCCAATGCGAATGTGGTGAAGGACAGTGGACCACTGAGGGACTCCATCCACTCATCAAAGGAACAGTG